TCTGGACCCTATCAGCACGCTAGTGCTCCCTCTCCAGATCAGATAAGCAACTGGGAATGTTCTGTCCATGCTCTCTTATCCTTTGCTCTTTGTGTCAGGATTGCATCATTCATTGGCCCTACCCTAACTTTCATTGGCCCTTGTCTTCCTCAACAACTGCTAAAGAAGATCCCTACTTCCTTCTGCCAACTTTCTCCAGTACAATTGACCTTCTAACCAGAAAAATCCATACTCCTACTGAGTTCTTCCCTAAGCACTTTAGAGTTGAGGAAGAACAGGAAACCTTGGAGGAAGGGGTAGATCTGGACACACGCACACACAGATTATGAGCCAGACAGAGGTCCCTCCTTTACCACAGGAATGGAAATCCCTCATAACTATGTCACTGGGTGTAGAAGATACCAGTATGATGTTGCACTCTATATGATTTTATGAAAATATGCTAATGAGTGTGAATATAAGGTAACTGTAATATGTTTCATGCAAAAGGTCTCTTGTAACGTATCATTACAAAGCTTATAATCTACTAAGCGTGGTCATCCTATTTGTATGAATGTACCGCTCTTGTATCTGAAACTAGAAATATGAAATATAACTCTGATGTCCTATTGTAATTATGGAAAGTCTGGGCCATTAATGGTGGGTTTGGAATCTTGATGGCTCCCATCAACTAGCACAATTGACTGTAGATGGCTCTGTTTACTTGAAAGTGTTCCTGTATACGTGTGTGCTGGCAAATGGGTAATGAAGTCTTACAGTGACATGTGATCATGTCACCTGAACTGGAATCCATCTTTAACCTGGTGCTTTTCCATTTAGAAGCAGGTGTGGGAACCCAGAGAGGGACAAAGGATTCCTGCCTTGTGCAAAAGATATATAAGGGGGTGGACTAGAACAAAGGGGGCTGCAGTCATGAGAAATCCCCTAGCTACCACTTGAGCTGGAACAAGGACTGTACCAGGGGAAAGGATTGGGCCCAGACTAGGAAGGCATCCAGTCTGTGAAAAAAGCTTATTGAAACATCTCTGAGGGTGAGATTTACCTGTATTCAGTTTTCTTACTGTATTAGGCTGAGACTTGCGTATTTTATTTTATTTTGCTTGGTAATTCACTTTGTTCCGTCTGTTATTACTTGGAACCACTTAAATCCTACTTTTTGTATTCAATAAAATCACTTCTTACTTATTAATTAGCCCAGAGTATGTATTAATACTGTATAAGCTTTATATAGGGTAAAACGGATTTATTTGGGGTTTGGACCCCATTGGGAGTTGAGTATCTGAGTGCTGGAGACAGGAGCACTTCTTAAGCTGTTTTCAGTTAAGCCTGCAGCTTGTGGGGGACGTGGTTCAGACTTGGATCTGTGTTAGCAGCAGGCAAGTGGGTCTGGCTCAAACAAGGCAGGGCACTGAAGTCCCAAGCTGGCAGGGAAAACAGGCTCATAGGTAGTCTAGGCACATCAGGTGGCAGTCCCAAGGGGGTTTCTGTGACCTAACCCGTCACAACCAGTCTGAAGTAAAACAAGATGGTTGGCTTTGATGGACCTGCTTGGGAGAATTCCTGCTCCTTTGTGCATTTCTGCTTTTTGGGGGAACGTGGCCATGTGGGAGAAACATTATGAAGACACTGACACTCTTTCTTGTCCTGTGTCTAACAGGATCTTAGCTATGTCCAAGATGAATGTCTTGGTCCTGACATTCACTTCCTGGATCACCTTCCCTACATGACACCTTAACTGCCTCTGACATTACCGATGGGCCAATCAATATGGCATTTTGTCACTGCTTGTCTTTCCTCTGTCCTTCATTTCCTTCCAAAGGCACTTCAAGGGTTCCAAGTAGGGTTGTCAAGTGATTAAAAAAAATTAATCGTGATTAATCACACAATTAAAAAAATTAATCGTGCGATTAATTGCGCTGTTAAACAATAATAGAATACCATTTATTTAAATGTTTTGTGATGTTTTCTACATTTTCAAATATATTGATTTCAATTACAACACAGAATACAAAATGTACAGTGCTCACTTTATATTTATTTTTTATTACAAATATTTGCACTGTAAAAAAACAAAAGAAATAGTATTTTTCAATTCCCCCATTACAAGTACTGTAGTGCAGTCGCTTTATCATGAAAGTTGAACTTACAAATGTAGAATTATGTGCAAAACCCCCTGTCTTATTTTTGAATGCAATGTAAAACTTTAGAGCCTACAAGGCCACTCAGTCCTTCTTCTTGTTCAGCCAATCGCTCAGACAAACAAGTTTGTTTACATTTGCAGGAGATAATGCTGCCCACTTCTTGTTTACAATGTCAGTTGAAAGTGAGAACAGGCATTCGCATGACACTGTCATAGCCGGCGTCGCAAGATATTTATGTGCCAGATGAGCTAAAGATTCATATGTCCCTTTATGCTTCAACCACCATTCCACAGGACATGCGTCCATGCTGATGATGGGTTCTGCTCTATAGCAATTCAAAACAGTGCTCACCAATACATGTTCATTTTCATCATCCGAGTCAGATGCCACCAGCAGAAGACAGATTTTCTTTTTTGGGTGATTAGGGTTCTGTAGTTTCCGCATCGGAGTGTTGCTCTTTTAAGACATTTGAAAGCATGCTCCACACCTCATCCGTCTCAGATTTTGGAAGGCACTTCAGATTCTTAAACCTTGGGTAGAGTGCTGGATCTATCCCTAGAAATCTCACATTGGTACCTTCTTTGTGTTTTGTCAAATCTGCAGTGAAAGTGTTCTTAAAATGAATATGTGGTGGGTCATTATCTGAGACTGCTATAACATGAAATATATGGCAGAATGTGGGTGAAACAGAGCAGGAGACATACAATTCTCCCCCAAGGAGTTCAGTCACAAAATTAATTAATGCATTATATTTTTAATGGGTGTCATCAGCATGGAAGTATGTCCTCTGGAATGGTGGCCAAAGCATGAAGGGGCATATGAATATTTAGCATATCTGGCACGTAAATACCTGGCAATGCCAGTTACAAAAGTCCCATGCGAATGCCTGTTCTCACTTTCTGGTGACACTGTAAATAAGAAGAGGGCAGCATTATCTTCTGCAAATGTAAACAAACTTGTTTGTCTTAGCGGTTGGCTGAATAAGAAGTGGGACTGAGTGGACTTGTAGGCTCTGAAGTTTTACATGGTTTTAGTTTTAAGTGCAGTTATGTAACCAAAAAAAAAAATCTACATTTGTAAATTGCACTTTCACAATAAAGAGATTGCACTACAATACTTTTATGAGGTGAATTGGAAAATACTATTTCTTTTATCATTTTACAGTGCAAATATTTGTAATAAAAATAATAATATAAAGTGAGCACTGTACACTTTGTATTCTATATTGTAATTTAAGTTAATATATTTGAAAATGTAGAAAAACATCCAAAAATATTTAATAAATTTCAATTGGGAGTCTATTGTCTAACAGTGCGATTAAAACTACGATTAATCGCGATTATTTTTTTTATTTAATGGCGTGAGTTAATTGCAATTAATTGATAGCCCCAATTCCCAGCCTTCATTTGATAAGCAGTATTGCCAACCTCAAGTGTTAAAATTGTGAGTCAGGCCCCCCAAAATCATCACGAGATTGGCTTAAAAATGATATTTTTTTAAAAAAGTTTTTTATTTGCGTTTTGTTTTTGAGTCTTTTAGATGTACACATTTTCCATCTTTTCTCTTCAACCACAAGGGCTAGAAACTTGTTTTTTAAATAATCGCTGAAATTCTCAGAATCACCTTACTGCAGGAGCAGGGCACCCAGAAAAACACCAAGTATTGAGAGAAGTGGCAACACTGGTAAAAGAACATTTCTACACTCACAGCATACAGAAGGGGGATCATTCTTTCTCATTATCTAACAAACTCAGATGCCTGCTTTGTCTTTTTTCTAGGAGGAGGATTATATTAAATAATAATAATTATCTCAGTCTGAGTGGTTGGGTTGCCATCTCTGAGGTACAAAAAAACAGGACATCCAGGATGATCCCATGCCCGTAAAACTGAACAGCTGGTAGCGTGTACTGAGCACACTTACAAATTTCCCAGGACAGCCTCTTCAAAACAGGGATGATCTTGGGAAAACCTAGACCGGTGGTCCCATCACTGAGCGTGGTGAAGCATTAGCCACATTGAAATGTGCAAAACCATGATATGGACTTCACCTAATACATGTATTAACTCAGGTAAAATAAATTAGACCTTAAACCATATTTGGAAGCAGCGTTTCAGCATTGAAAGCCACAAGTGGCCATGGAGTTCCTCTGGGAACTTATGGCTTGTTACATCCATGTACTGCATAGGTTCTGTTGTAATGTGTGGGAAGAGGAGACATATGACAAGGAAAAATTGTTCACTGGTAATTGTGTTTGTCATAGTCATCCCTAATTTTCCTTTCCTCCCACATCCCCTTGGGGGCTCTCTCAGTTAGTGGTGTGTTTTGTTTGGCTTTCTTCCATATTTATTTGCTCTGCAGGATTCTATTTGGAGAAGAAAGTGGGTGGGCTGGTTCTTTTATATAGGCCGTGATTGACAGTTTTGTTGACTCCTTACTTCCAGGTGGGTGGAGCTATATCCCTTAATGTAATGTGATGGGGGTGGGAGAAGGGGACCACAATAAACACAATTACTGGTAAGTAATTTTCTCCTTGACTACATTTCTGGTGACTCTGTTTTATACTCTCTGTGCCAAAGCAGGTTTGCTGATGACAGTGTTTAAGAATATTTAATTCTTGGTATGAACTAGCTGGGTGTTTCTCTTAATGAGCTATCCCACTGCTATCACAACAACTTTAAATACCTTATGGCTAGCAAGGCAGAGACTGACACACAGGCAGATTTGTTTCTGCAAATAGCTGCTAGATTTACTTGCATCTTTCAGCTGCGTTGATATAAATACAGGTTGTCCTGTTGCTACTGTGGTGGCAAAGAAGAGCACTTATGAACGGTTGTTGTTCTGCTTATCTTGTCTCTTAGGAAAAGGAAAAGCTGTATGTAGAGCTGAAGCACATCTTGGCCCGGCAGCCTGGGCCCGAAGCAGCAGAACAGTTGCAGCTCTACCGACACACACTCCGAGAGAAGACCAAGCAACTGAAAGTAAGAGATACCCTTCATGGGATTAATCAGAAAGGAAGTCCATCTGAAGGGCTGCTCTGCTTGTAGGACTATATCAGTGCTTTGCACAGGGAAGTCTGTCTTCCCAAGGAGTCTTTTGGTGCCGAGAAACTGAGCCTCGATCTCTGGGTAGGGGGGGCAAGAAGTTAAAAATGTTTCACTGTCAGGGGTTTTTCAGAATACTGTAATTCTTCACAGTGCTTTCACGGCTTTTGTGCAGCCTGGACAATAATACTGGAGTGCAGTAAGGTGGATAGCAAGTGAGAAAAGATAAGAAAGAATGTCAGGGAAAATGGAACAAACTCTTTAAAATAGGACACTTCCTAAACTATAGCTGCGTATCAAAAGACACCTCGTTTTCCTGTGATAGCCAGTATAGTTACTTGGCTATACAGTTATTTAGCAGTTCAGCCGTTTCCTCTCAGCTTTTTATGCATCCATATTCCACACTAAGCTGTGATGCCAAAGACCTTTTAACTGTGAGGAATGGGCATAGTTTTCTTCATTTGCGAGTCTTGTCTTGTCCTAAACAAATATTTCTGATGTTTGTCATAAAAGGATAATTCAACATTTCCCTATATTCTCCGTGAAACACTGGCCTAATAGTCACAGATCTGCCCACCTCAGTGCCAAAAAGACATCAGGATGAAGAAAGGAGTTCAGAGGGGAATAGCAATAATGGAAAAAGGCTGAAAATTTTGATTTACTAGGAAAGATTAAAATAACTGGGTATACTCAGCTTGATTAGTCAATAGATACAAGTCTAAGAGGACAAGTAGGACCCACTATATCGAGAGTCAAAGATGAAGAATTGCTATAAAATGTCTCTACAAGCAAAGACTGGCCCATCAGTTGAGAAGCATCCTTTCTAAGAATCGTCTGAAACCTAACCATTTCCATTAGCCGTTGAGGGCAGATCAATAAGTAGATCCTCCATTTCATCCAAATAAATCTGTTAAAGAACACCTTGTATTTCAGTCCAGGAATAACTTGCTGTGTAAATATTACTAACTCAACAGGTTTACTTGGACAAGATATAGGGCCTGTTTATTGGTCTGCCCTCAGAGGCTAATGGAAACAGTTTCAATTTCTCAAATTGACTTTTTTCATAGATTTCATAGATTTTTAAGGCCAGAAGAGACCATTGGATCATCTAGTCTGACTTCCTGTCTAGCACAGGGCAGAGAATTTCATCCAGTTATCCCTGTATTGAGCTCAGTAACCTATGTCTCACTAAAGCTTATCTTCCAGAAAGGGATCCTGTCTTGATCTGAAGACTTGAACAGATGCAGAATCCACCACTTCCCTTGGTTTTGTTCCAATGGTGTTTTGGTTCTGAGGTGGACAGAACTGTACATGTTATTGTAGGTACATTGACGAGCACTTACATGACATTTCTCCAATCTACAATACAGTGTTGTGTAATGCCAGTGCTACCTGTTAACTGTGCTTTCTGTGTGAAAGTCCATAATAATATTCATAGCCTCCCTCCTGGGGAAAACACATGGAGGTGGTTTTACTAATGTGTAAGCTTCCTAAGCATTCTGAGAATAGAATTTAGTAATATTATGTTTATTTGTTTCATTAAACGAAGAAGAAATGAAAGTGGAATTAGAATATTAATGTACAGCATATTACGTCTAAACGCTCATCCACATGGACATTTTTAGATACTATAGATACATGAGGCTTAATTTCATTTTTTCTTAAATGAGTGAGATCGTCTAATAAGTGAGTCAAAACCATTTTCACACTCCTTTTAACATGCTAGTGGAAACTGTTCCTAAATCCTTGTTATTTCTGTCAAAGTGCATTACGTGTACCTTAGTCTCACGTCTTATTACAGGGCTGACAAGAGTAATCTATCTTAACCCCTTGTCACTAGAAATCAGGATTTCCTGATTCTGAAGAGCTGCCTCATGGAAAACTTTTTGAAGGTGTGATAATGAGAAGCAATTCTACTTATATGTAATGTAGGGCTCTTCCCTTGTTCCCGTGGTCGCCTTTGTTTAACCTGGCTGCACCAGATCATTAATAACCCTGTGGAACTCTTAGATGCCTGGAATAAAGCTGTACAGAGCGCTCACGGACACTCGGCGCTATGGTCCTCTGCTATCGAAGCGTACTGTGGTTGTTATTATTGTAAGGATTAGCCCCCACTTAAGACAAAAGGAGTATGTGAACCCAGCCACAGGCTTTTGCTGAGTGTTGTTTTGGGTAGGGGTGTGTCCGTGGATGTGTGTGTGAAGAACAATCAAACAACTGGGAGAGACTGAGGACAGAAAGTGAGCGAGGCAGAGGCAAAAAACAAGAAAGCCAAGCAGTAGCCAATGAGCACAGGGTGACCCTGGAAAAAACGAGAGAGAGAATGTTTGGGTCTGCCGACTGAGGAGGCTTGGGGTTATAAGTAAGGCAAATATTTGGTCACTGTTATTTTTAGTAAAAGTCACAGACAGGTCACGGGCAATAAATAAAAATTCATGGAGCCTGTGACCTGTCCGTGACTTACTAAAAATAACGGGACAGGGCTAAATAGGGGGAGGAATGGAGTCCGATGGGTGAGGGGGGGACTGACAGGCCTAGACCCCCGGCTCTAGCGGCCGCAGCAGGGGGCACAGCCAAGAGGGGGCACATGGTCTAGGGATGCTGTGGGGCAGGGGCGCACAGCCCCCGATGCAGCTCCCACCATGGGGCTGGGGCGTGTGACCCCGGCTGCAGCTCCCAGCAGAAAACGTGGGGCTGGGGCACACAGCCAGGCTGCAGTCCCCCCACCCCTTGCAAACCACAGGGCAGGGGCTGCAGGGTCCTGATTCCAGTTCTCCAGTTTGCAGTTGTAAGCTGTTGCAGAAGGGCAACCTCCAGCCCCCACTTTAGCTGCTGACAGCTAAACGTGGAAGAAGTCACAGAGGTCCGGTAAAGTCACGGAATCCATGACTGCTGTGACCTCCATGACTAAATCGTAGCCTTAGTTATAAGCTAAAAAACTGCTCCTAATGTTCTTGGTTCCTCCTGCATTTGGAGAAGCAGGATATTATATGTTTCTTGTAAATAAACAAAGTTGCATCATAGAAAATACCTGACTCTCTCCAAACTTTGACTAGTCTCAATATTCTTCTCCTGCAGCAGGAAAGTGCATTTGGCATGACCCTATTTCCAAATTAATTGATTTATATGGGATCAGGATCATGCCAATAATTGTATTGCATGATGCCATATTGCTTATGTGGAGTTAATTATATTCTATAATACAGTGGGCCCTCTTGAACAAAAATGCAATATTAAAGTTCCTATTCGCTTGTGATGAGGCAGGTCTTGTAATGTCTGCATGAAACAGGTATTTATGAATGTCTTGAAAGGGTGCACAACAGAAGGACATTAATGCTAGTAGAAGAGGATGACTTTTCAACTGTCTAAAATCGTCCTTCAGTTAGAAACATTAATGATGTAATGGTATAGGCAGATGGCAGAAAGATTCCAGAGTAACATTTGCTCTACTCCCTGGAAGTCTAGACCCCGGCCAGCTCTCTCCTGATTAGTAAAGATAGAAAGCACAACTCTAGCTGCAAGCATTGAAAGGCATTTTGAAATGTCCGGCTCACATTATATCCCTCAGCTCTCCCTCATTAAACTGGACAACTTTCATTTTAAGAGCCACAGTTTTCTCCAACCCCCACAAATATGCCTTTGCCTTACTTTCACTGCTGTAAATTATTTACATCAGAAATGAATAATCAAGACACTGAAATGCTAGGAAAATATAACTTTTGGTAAAGAGGTGGATCCTATGCCATTTTAAAACTCCCTGCTTAATTATTTGTCTGTGCTCCTTGTTTTGGGTCTTTGGTTCACATTTGGGTCCAGGAAGGTAGAGAACTACAGTAAATGTTGTTAGTGTCACTCAAAAGATGCTTGGTGAGGTATGCGGTGTAGCTTTAACTCTGTAAACTGCCTTCAGGTGGGCAGAGATTTTATCTGATAGGGGAAAAGGGAGTGTGTGACAGACGTAACCTGTGAAGCTCACTTTTTGCTTTTGGTTGATTAGGTTTTGTCTTCAGAACTGAACATGTATGAGTCACAGAGTCAAGAGTACAAGTATGAAATAGAGAGACTGGGCAATGAACTCCTGAATGTGAAGAAGAAATACCTAACCCAGAAACGCAAGGAACAGCAGACCAAGTAAGGAATAATGTTAATTCTCGCGATCCGTCTCTCCAGCTAACCCTCATCCTTAGGCACAGAACACCTCAGTTGCATCTGAGTGCCTTACAAAGATATAAACGCAGAAAAGTTTGGGTACTCTGAATTCTTCCCTCTTCTCCTTGAGCAGGTCTAGTAAGTTTTAAAAAAATCTGTAAATGTTTTTCTTTCTCATGTTCCTCTTCCTCCCTTTCTTTTCTCCCATCTCCTCATTTGGCTTCCAACTTCCTCTTCCTTTCTCTGTCCCGTTCTTCCATTCTCTAGTCTCCTTTTTACGGCAACACTTATAGTATATTTGCTGCTTCAGGGATGGATGTTACTGTGTGAATGCTATTACATTAGGACGGGATTCGTAATCATGGGTCAGGCACTAAGAAAGCACTGTCCCCCCACTAACACAACTGAACAATTCCATGGTTCACAAAGATCACCTGTCATAATTGTGGTGACTTCTGAGAGAGCCTAGGGCCATCCTACAGAGCTATCTGGAGATCACTGCAAGGCCTGTGAATTTGATCTGATATTGGGAAGGGAGCAAACTGTATTGAGTGGAGCATTGGGGTGATATGTTTGCTTTGGTCTGAATCTCTCAGCAGATGCAAAGCAGCATGTTACACCAGCTGGAGCTATTTTTAAGGCTGTCATATTAATTCCTATGTTACCCACACAATCTAGGGCACCCTACTTATACCTACTGAGGGCTCAAGGCGTAACCCGGTCAATTTAGGCACCATCACCCTCTCCCTACCGAGGGCTTGGAGTGTAAGACACCTGCTCTTTCCCACGGGGCTGCAGGAGAAACCTGGTCAATTTACGAACCTGCCCTCTCCCACGGGGCTCCGGGCTCTACGGATCTGTGTGACCTTTTCCCAGTGAACGAGCCTTACACAGCTGTGCTTTAAACATCTATGTAGTAGCAACACACACAGACTATGTATAACGAGCAAATCTCTTGTGCTCACCCCTCCCAATACACAGAGAAATTTCTCCCGATGGCCAGTCAGGATCCACTCATCTGGGGGTTCCTGGCAGTGCCTCTGCATGTCACGGTCGTGCAGAGGGATCAGAGTTCCAGCAGCTTGATGTTGAACTGCGGTCCGGAAATGGTTCCCAAAGAGCATTGTTTTTCAATTTCATTATATAGTTAAAACGAGCTACCCCCTACAAACCTATCACATTATCTCACACTCCTAGATAACAAAAATTGTAACCAATTACACACTGGCACCTGTGTGTCCTCCTTCCTGCCCAAGTTTTTTACATTGGTATCTTTCATGCCTAAATTGTAACTTAGTTGTCACCACCTCTGTTTATGCAGATGGTCAGCATAAAAACACTGGTCAGAGCTTATTTTACCATTTATTGAGTCTCTTTCTGTATCCTCCCTAATTTCCCAGTGCCTGGGTGTCTCTACCTTACAACCTTGGTGGTTATAATTCTCATTAGGGACATTCTTGAGGTGGGGGTGCTTTATCAGCAGCAGAACATTTTTTTTTCCCCAATTTTAGTGATGAACTCCTTGAGTTTCACCCAAGGCTGGTTTAATATACTGTGTATGTGTGTGTGTGGGGGGGAAAGACTGATCAGGTCTCAGGCCTGCACCTAGGCAGGGTCATTGCTAGGGTTACCATACGTCCTCTTTTTCCCGGACATGTCCAGCTTTTCGGCACTCAAACCCCCGTCCGGGGGGAATTGCCAAAAAGCCGAACATGTCCGGGAAAATGGCAGCTCTGCTCCTCCCCGACTCTTCGGCTCTGTTTAAGAGCCGGGCTGCCCGAGCGCTACCGGCTTCGGGCAGCACCCGTGCCTCCAGACCCTGCGCTGCCGGATCCCGGGAGGGGAAGTGCGCCGGCTGGGGGCGCAGGGTCTGGGGGCTGCCCGGCAAACCCTGAAGCCGGTAGCACTGGGGCAGCCCTTTCCCCCTGGCTGGGAGTGGAAGGGAGGAGGGGGCGGAGTTAGGGTGGGGAAGGGGTGGGGTTGGGGCAGGGCTAGGGGTGGGGAAATGGGCGGGGCCAGGGCCCGTGGAGGGTCCTCTTTTTTATTTTTGAGATATGGTAACCCTAGTCATTGCAATCCTGGAAGCCATGCATGTCTGAATCAGTGTGCCCAGATCTGCATCCACCAGGATGGGGTGGACCTCCTAGCCTGCTATAGATGAGAAAAAACATTCATTACTGCTAAGGGCCTTGAGACTGTAAACTATCCTTATCATTGGTGCGAAGACATACTTGGTTGAGGGTGATGTAGTGGTATGTACCACTTCTTCTAAGTGTATCTCCTCACTTACTAACATCACTTTGGTCATAGCTGGGTTGAGCTTCAGCCAGCTGCCATGGCCCATGGTCAGGAGACTTGTAGCGGGGTGAATGCCCGCTCCAGCTCTGAAGGGATTGGAAAAGCCCTGCAGAGGGCTGGGGCTGTGTAAAGGGGCAAACCCCGGCTGACTGGGGAAGTGGCTGCAGCTGGGGCCATGCCCCAAACTGAGCCACTCAGCCTTATAAGAAGGCCAGGGTAATCAGAGCAGAGGAGTCTCCCTCTGAGAGGAGGCAGAGGCCGAGGCCGAGGCCGAGGCCTGGCTGCAGGGAGCTCACCTGGGGACCTAGGGTAAGGCAGGGCTGGGAAAAGGCCTTGGGGGCTGGGAAGCCCTAGGCCAGCAACTCCCTAGGCTGCAGGGCCTGGTCCTAGGCTATATAGGTATTGGGGTTGCAGAGGGGAAGTCTGAGGGTGGGTAAAGGCAGCCAGTCCAAACCCCTTGATGCCTGTGATGATTGGCCGATAGACTGCAGTCTGCCCCTCTACAGTCACAGAGCACAGTTGTGTATTCAAACAGTCTGCTTTCAATTTTCAGAAGTGACTAATGTTTTTTGGGTGTTCCACTTGGGATGCCTTAAAGGGGTCTAATTTGCAGGGGCTGGGTGCTTGGCACGGTCTGAAAATCAGGCTCCATTATGGTGCCTCAAGTTGAACCCAAAATCACTAGTCATATTTGGAAATGCAGATATTTTCCCCAAGGAGAGGTTTCTAGGAGATGATGTCATTTTGCAGTTGGATGGCTTGATTTGCAGTAGTGTGTGTGTGGTGGGTGTGTGTGGTTGGTTTTTTTTGTTTGTTTGTTTTGTTTTTTT